AAGCCAGGGAGGATGAACTTACTACCTTTTCTTTCTTCTTCTTAAGTGAAAACTAAATCAATACTGTTCTTTAGGAGACTGCCCTCTAATTTCCAGTTTAAATCATCAGGACAAAAACACCACTCCTTAAGCAAAATATAGACAGAAGTAGCTCCTTCTCCAAGGGAAAGAGAACTAATCTTAAAATGCTGCTTGCTTCTTTTAAGAGTGGTAAGGACAGAAACAAATGTTCAAAGACCTGGCATGGCTGCAGCCATCAGCTACACTCCCATGAATGGATGTGTACTTCCTTTGTAATAATATTCATAATCTCAAATTCTAAAAATTACTAATTTTCAGGGCAGTGTGGACAAAGGTATGTCCATCTAAAACAGCTCTTGGAGGAGGCAACAGAAAAAATAAATCAAAGGACATCATACTCTCTATGACAATTCAGCAACACAACTATGTTTCCTCTCAAGAAATGAGCTGCTATGCTTCTGACAAAGTCCTTTTGGGTGAGAGGGAAAGGAATACCACTAGATGATATACCAGATCAAACGACCGTGTGACGTCCTGACCTTTGGTTTCTTCCAAACATCTCACCTCTTAACTTTCTCATGTTCTCTTGAGGTTCCTAAGTGTCCACTCCTTAAGTTTTAGATTTTAGAACTACTCACATTTGCTGTGTATCCTAAAGCTTAATGCCTTTGATGACATATAGGAAATTACTTAAGACACTATATAATTCCTAAGTAATTAAAGATGTCTAAGATTTAGTATTCTCAATTGTTTACTTCATAGCTGTTAAATAAGGAAAAAGGGAATGTCTGTATATAAAACTGAAGTATAGAGATAAACAAAATTTTTTTAAAATTTATTTTATGAGTATGGGTATTTTGTTTACATGTATGTCTGTGTACTAAGTGTAAGCCTGGTGCCCATAGAGCACCAAATCCCGAGACTGGACTTACAAGAGGTTATAAGCTGTCATGTGCATGCTGGGAATTGAACTCAGATCCTCTGAGAGAATAGTCAGTATTCCTAACTGCCACTACTGCCCCAAGCCCATACTCTAGTTTCTTTTTACTATGTTGCCCTTGCTTGGGCTCAAGCATTCCCATCTCAGTCTGAGTAGTTGGATTATACATTTATGACGCAGCCAGAGTGTTTTGCACCTACTTTTCCTTCTCTGGGGTTTTACACAATTACTATCCCATACCAAACTTTATTCATAAATAGCCAAGACGACTTCTGAGGTACAGTGCAAGGTACAGTGTAAGATCCTATGGTATAAGGGACTGATCTAAGTAGAATCATACTTTTTACTTAGAAACATTGGAAGACAAAGACATAATTCAATGTATACACCCCAATGAAGATATAAAGCTGAAGAATCCAAATTAAATATTTATCACTATTGCTATAGCTTCCCCTGCTTCCAATACTCTATTGAGTTCCGTATCATAGGTTGGCTTTCTTGGGAAACACCCTGCAAGCTCTCTGCCATCAGCTTATTTTTAGCTGCTGTTTCCTCTTATTTACATTTGTTCTTTCTAAAGCTCACACCATGTCTTGCACATTTTTGTCTGAATTTCTGCCAATTTCCCATTGCTTCTTATTTCAGCCATCAGCCCATTTCCCTATGGGTGGTGGTTGCAGCTCTTCTCTCCCTTTGTCTCCATCTTTTTTTTTTAATTAAACAGCATTGACGCTGTAAGATCACAGTTTCCAGCCCATCTCCTCTCCTGGACTGGGAAGCTTCTGTAGGCCCAGGTCTACTCTAACTTGCTAACTTCACGGATTACAGTCTCAGGCAGCTCACTGCATGCATGAGTAATGAATGAACCAAGGAAATAAAGTTAACTATGTAGTAAAAATGATTTTCCTAATGCATTTCCCAATGAAACTGAGAGAGGAAGAAAAATACTTTGAAGAGACAACCAGAAAGGTCAAGAAGGAGCTTTCAATAAAAACATATTTGAAACAACCCAACAGGAGGAAGAGGTTTTAATTACAAGCAGACGTGGGAAATAAGTTTGGGAATCCTGTGGCACAGAGGGTAACTATAGACCACGAATGTACTATATATTAAAAGAGAGGAGGGAGAAGAGATGTGGCTCTTCCAAAGGACCTGCACCCACGTGGCAGCTCTCAACTGTCTGCAACTCCAGCTCCAGAAGATCTGATACCCTCACACCAATGCTTATAAATAAAATTAAATAAATTACTTAAAAATTATTTTTAAAAACTGCCTCGTTTAGCCAGACATGGTGGCACATGTCATTAATCCCAGCACTTGGGAGGCAGAGGTAGGTGAATCTCTGTGAGTTTGAGGCCAGGTTGGTCTACAGAGTTCCAAGATGGCCAGGGCTATTAAAGAGAAAAATCCTGTGTTGAAAAACCAAAGGGGGTTGGGGATATGGAGTGTTTTCTAAAAGGAATGTCTGAGGAGATGTATACGCTTACCCTGATTTAAATATCACATAATGTACAAATTCATCAAGTAACTTCATATGGTATCAAATAAATGTAGGTTTCCTATCAATTTACAAAAGAAAAATGTGAAAACAGGGAATCTTGAAGGCTACACAGTAAGCATACTGAGTTTTTTAAGTTAAGTTTTTTACAAAGCATCCTACTTTATACTTTTTAGAAAGTATCCTAGAGGGCTCCATAAAACACCACACCAATAGGATAAAAGTACACTGATTTTTTCAAAAGCCACTACAGGATCTGAATTTTAACCCAGGAAAAAGAAATACTGTACTAAGTCACCCAGTACTCAAATCCATATGAAACATCAGTTTCATGACCCTTAATACCTGCCCCAATTCCCCCTCCTCACACACACAGAGGTTAGGACATAGGAAAATCAATCTTCAAGAGGCTATTGTTACAACGTCTAGTTTTAAACACTCTAGCCTACACAGATGGTTCAGTCCTTAACATGAAAACATCAGTCCTCATGGTTACTTTCTTCTACATCAGTATCTCTCTACAAAAGCTACACTGCCAGGTCTTCCTAATCAAGGTGTCTTACAGCCAACTTAGGAAACACAACACACACTGTTAAACTGTACTAGCAATGATCATCTGTCAGTCTGCAATATTCAAACAAATCTGCCTGCTTCATATTTAATTAAAATTTGTGTCAAATTCAAGGTTGAAAAAAGACTGAAAAGCATCCAAATACCCTCACTTCATAGATAAAGACACAAGTGATCCTTCTAGTAAAACTGTGTGGCACACTTAAATTAGCACCAGGAAGTATTCTTAGATGCTTATAAAACCCTCAGACTGGGGATCTAGGACTCAGGGGATTCTTTTAACTTTTTAAAAAAATACTGCACACAGATCAAGTGAGGACCTATTGAATGGTAAGAAACTCAGCTCCAACCATTAGAGTTCTGTCATTTGCTTACTTTCTGGATCCTATGTAAACACTAACCAAACAATGGCTTAAGCTGGGGTATGTTTTCTTTTTTCTTTACACCGTTTTGGCATTTATTTTTCACTAATCTCTAAAATCAACTGTCTACTTTAGCTGTAAATGCAGTCTGAAGTTCATACTTCCACATTTCACTCAAGCACACGCAACAGAAAAGGCAACAGCCTGTTACCTGAATAACAATTCTGTTACAGTGCTTACCTTTGGAAGCAAACAATGATGACGTGGACTCTGACTGTAACAAGCCATTATCTCCTGTGCCTCACTCATTACAAGACCTAGCTTCACACGATTTAGGCATGTTTTTTTTTTTTTTTATGTGAATATAAATGTTTATTGGAAGAAATGAAGAAAATACAACCCAGGATATGCCATACCAGTGTATTCATTCCATTTCCCTTATGCAACTCTTGTTCTGTCATTAGAGAATTTCTCTACTTGCCATATTTGTTTAGATACCAGGGCACCTGAACTAACCCTCAAACATAAGCATAATAAGAGAAATTCTGGTTTAAAAGATGTCACTCTTAAAAGCTGGGCCACAGTAGTTCAAGAGCCAAATACTAGCTTGAAGATAGGTCAATGAAGCAAAAGGTCACATATGAGCTGTTTGACTAGTCTTATCACAATGATCTGGCCACTGGATTACAGTGAATAGTGGTAAGAAATGACATGAAACAAGCCCTGAAATTTACAAATAATTAGGTTTCCAGAAGAATATCCTACAAATATGTCATAACTGCACAGGAAAAGAAAGCCAAAAAAACATCTGTATTACCACCCAAAAAAACCTTATTTTTTTTTTTACAAGCATCGTACTGAAAAGACAGGCATAGCTAGCTATAAAGCCACTCTTAGACAACAACAAAACAGATTAATTATGCACAATAACACCATCTATGAATATAAAATTTTTGCTTGTTATTTGATTATACTGTGAGGTAGAAAAACACTTCCTAAAATATTGTGCTCATATTTCTAATATTTAGGGTCTCTCATTCAGTTCTTCTAACCTCTCCACACTAGGAACCTCTATAATATACAACTTCTTTCCAACCCCAGCTTCTAAACACATGGCATATTCATCAGCATCCTCCCAACAATAGAAGCACTGTAACAACCTTAACCAGCTGACAATGCTGCTTTACTATTTGTGATTCAAGAGCAAACAAGTTATCAAATACTTCTGTTTTGGCAACTAATCTTACTGAGAAGTTTTAACTCTAATTATGAAAAACTGACTTTTAAGCAGAAGATGGCATTATGAAACCCAGCCTATCTTGGTTAGCTGAAAAAGATTAATTTAAAGTACACAATTGAATAACGAAAACAAACCTAGTCCAAGGACAGGGTCAAGTCAGTAAGCACATGAAGGACAAGGTAGTATTTGCACTAGAACACTGAACTAACTCTGCAGCAGCGCTTCTAGTAATATAAAAGGGTTCATCTGGAGAGTGAAAGAACAACCAACTTTGACTGCCATGTGCACTTCACAGAACTTTTCCCCATTTTGTAAATTACATACAAGCACTAAAATCTTAAGGAGCAAAAACCAAGCTTTAAAAACAGGTTTTCACAACAAAATTTATTAGAAGAATAGTGGTTTTTAAAGTCTAGCATCCAGTGAGAACTACCATACACAACATTACAGCTGGGAATGTTTCTCCAAAATGTCATGGTCAAATAATACAATGGAACCATTAAGTCTTACACATGCACAAAAGAACTAGTGCTTCTGACATACAATGAAAAAAAAAAAAAAAAAAGAAAAAAAATAAGAAAGAAAAAAAGGGGAACCACATGAATTAAAATTTAAGTACTCATCACATACATTAAGACACAGCTTATTTTAGTCCAGTCAAAATCAGAACTGCATTAAAATATTTAATGTAGTGCAATCAAACCCAAAAACTTAATCTGTGATCATAAGTGCTCTACTACATAAACAAATGATTATAGCAAGAACAAAAAGTTCAAATCACACAGTACAAAAATCTGTAAATAAATATAAACTACAGTACAAGAGAAATATTAAATTATACAATTCCGTCAAACTGTAAACAGTATATTGAAATGAGGTCCATAGAGTAAAGGGGGTTCCTGTTTTGTTACATGACACTGAGCTTGTAGAAATCTGAAAAATGCCATTTTCCATGTCTTCAAAGGCTATGGGTTTTAGAGTTTCTTTCAGATGTGAGATATCAAATACTAAAGCAGAGGGATGATTTCTTTGTTAACCACAAGCAGCACTGTGGAAAACGTTTAAAAGACAAGCCCCCATCAGAAGGGACTTGTCGCTGAGGTCTTTGAGGCTGTAAAATACACTGAGATAATAAAACTTCCTGCTCTACGCAGACCTAGACCTCTGCTCATTTGTTGTTGTTGTTTTTTTGTTTGTTTTTTTTTTGTTTTGTTTTTTTTACATACTTAAAATGTTAAAATACCAACTTTGGCAGAATCACTACTGATAAACTCAAAGCACTTATGGCCCAATGGTTCCATCACAGTGGCCAGTGCACAGATTCTCTGAAGACATTGCATAAATAGAATGTAGAGGTCAGACACCCAAGGACCAGTGCTTGAATTTAGTAGTAGTTATGAAGAAACAAGAGCCACATCAAAGAGGAACTGCATCTGTTAGAATTTACAGAAGCAGCTAGGAATGTCGTTTACTTTCATTGTGCTGGCTACTCGTGGCATTTAAAAATATATAGTTTAAGTGTGTGTGTGTGTGTGGTGGCTATACATGTATGCATGTTTAAAAAAATACACTGTTAACAGGAACCCCCATATTATCTGCTCAGTAGTTATAACTGAATCTATAGAATGCCACTATAAGAGTGTGAGGCACCGTGTGCTGGAAAGTTATGCAGCTTTAAAATCTGTTTGGCTGAGTTATACCTGGATACCTGAACTGAGTTTTTAAGTTGACATTCATCAAAGATGTGCTACCAGCACGTTGAAATAAAAGCAAAACAGAAAAATACAAGTCACTGTTAGGTTTAAGAATAGCATCAAAGTACCTGAATTGAGTGAGAAAAGTGTGAAAACTGTCCCTGAGGGTTTTTAAACAGTGTGTACAAGTTGATTTTCTAAGAACATTAGCTTTATTTAACAGTGTAGACTGATAAAATACCAATGTCTGACAGTTTAAAGTGGAGGTCTTAAAGAATTATACGCAAACGCTCCAATGTACAGTTTATGCATTTTTCCCTAAAGCAGCAACAAGCCGCTGTTAAGTACACATCCCGTCAGAACAAGCACACGTGGGAGTCAGATAAAGGTTTCTTCTGTTGTTTTTTTTTTTTTTGACAGCACAGCATATCAATATCCAATGACTATATCTTTCCTAGATCAGAATGTAACTAATTTTGACTAGCAATATAGGATTAGACTTTCAATCAAACACTTCGCTATTACATACTAAGATTCCTTAAACTCACTAATGCTGGTAATACTAACCTAGTTAATCAACCCCCCTTGATTTTAGAAATATACCCTTCCACAACTTAAAACCATTAAGATCCATATCAGTCCTCTGATGTAAAAAGCATGTCAGTGAATTAGTATTAAAAATTTACACAGTAAAAAGGCTTGAATTTCAGCCAAAGATTCTAAATACTGCTCATTCCCTGAAGACTTAAAAGGGAGAGAATCTCTACCCATTTCCTTAGTGATTTATATTTCTAAAATGGTCTGATAACATGTTTCATTTGGGGAATTTCCCCCCGCTCACTTTCTCTCAAATTCCAAATTCCAAAGCCAGAAATGCTTAAATGAAATGGGGAAAATGAGGCAATTACTTAGAGTTACTAGAAAGGTACAAAATGTTGTCTTTTGTTAAAATAAGATTTATATAAATGTGATTTGACCCCATATCATGTAGTTATGGTTTTTAAAATAATCATCCTAAAACTTACAGTACCTAAGACTCTGAAGATAAATTAAGACTTTAGTGTTTTAACAGAAAAGTGCTGACTTATCCCTTCCTAGAACTTATAACATTTGGGAAGTGCTTTCCTAATGACAGTAAGGTTTGCTATATACCTTCCACCAAGCAGGAAAAAGTCACCCGGATGAAAACCTTTCAGGAGTGTAGCACTAGTTATTTACCAAATAAGAATCATTTTGTTCATCCTGTGGGGGTAAAAATATTCTAGACTGAAATTCTATTTGGCTACTGAATGTTAAAAATCCCTGCTCTACTGTGTCAGTATCCTGTGTCCAACTATTCCCTGCCCCCACCCCCACCCCTTACACACTATCCACTGAGAATCTAATCTCCAAAGAGATTTAAATGTATGTTTTCAGGACATACCTGAGAAAGGGTGCGATTATGCAGAACAAGGAACCCAAGACTGCACTAATACTGGTCAGAAGTTCACAAACTGTTTTTCAAGACAAATCTAAGAAGTTTAAGAGGTATGAATCTTCAAATGTCTCACTGATTTAGATTATTTATTTGGTATGTGTGTAGGGTCATTTCCAGTGTTGAAAATATCTTGAGCCTGTTCAATGACAGTTCAAGGAGTAAAGAGTTCATTTTCACATTCAAACAATAAAGGTTAAATATTATGAATATTTGCTACATCCAATAGATCTATGGTTTACTAAAAGTGCTTGCTTTTCATGCTTTTTTATGGATACAGCTCTAAATGAACTGGAAATCTTAAAAATTACCTCCCAAAATATTCTAAAATTATCTCATGTTTACTGTCTTCCAAATAAACATTAGACTTAATTCTCACTTTCAAACAAGGTAAAAAATTTTCCTATCAAATGCACGTAACAGTGTCTTGAGACCCACTCTTAGTTTAACTGATACAGCTGGGGGCAGCTATCTTTTTCGATTTCTCTAAAGTTTATACCTATCCATCCTATGTTCTAGCCCCTGCTCCAAAATCCTTTTGAACACTTACAGCATTCAGACAGTGTTGTGCCTTAGGGCTAATGTTTGCTTCTTTAAAAGGTAAATGCAAAAGTTGGAATAAAAGAGTATATGGAAAGAATTTCCTCTATTTTCCCTTGTCACCATGTTCACAAATCTTCAAGTCTCAAGAACAGAATCCAAAATAAAGGATATGGAGGTCTGCATTCCTTGTACCACAAATACATACACACATACATACATACACACACACACACACATATATGTGTGTGTATGTATGAATGTATGTATATATTCCTTTTCAGTAGATTAAAAAAAAATTGAACAAACCAAAACCAAATCAAAACAACAACAACAAAAAACAAAACAAAACAAAAACAAAAAAAAAAAAAAAAAAAACAAACCCAAACCCAAAACCTATATAGTTTAATAGTCTACTAAGTGGACTATTTGGCTAAAGCCATCAAGCTTTGAATTAATACTGGATTGACCAGTGTATTAATGAAAATTTAATTCTAACAGAAACGGAACAAGGAAAATGTGACATCTTCCATCTTCCTGAAGGCCAAAATTTAACCTGAAACTTTCAATCTGCTAATAAAATATTAAGTGGGTACCCTAACCTATTTTCATATTCTATCACCAATGACAGCAACCTGAATAAATACAAGAATGGAAATGTAAAAACAACCTCAAGCATTTGGTTAAATAGTTACAGAATAAAAAAAATTGTTTTAAAATGAAAGCTACCAGGATGTAATAATTGTGAACAGAACACTAATTTGTCATACACATGCTTTGACAGCACAAAATAATTTCAGGTTCTGACCCTGAACTGACAATTTTTTAAAAATGAAAATAACCAAATAAATCTAAGCTTCATCATCATGGGGCAATAAAATGTAAAAAGATCACAAAGGCTTAGAACCAGGTCTGGCAGCATGTGCTTCCTGGGGGAAGGTGGAGACACACTAGCAGCACAAAGGCTGCCATGCACTGCCTAATAACAGAAGGTAGTTAGGATATGGGTCATAGCAGGTAGTCAATTCTAGTCTTCTCCAGAAAACTGGTAACTAAACACCTCCTTGTGCCACTTAACATTTTGCTATCTGATCCCATACAGCTCATTTTACAGCTAAGGTAAAACACTGGGAAATAGAATGCCAATTGGTTGAGGTAATGATTTATATAAGATAACCAGAGTACTAAAGCACTTCAATGTTGTAAAGTAAAACTGTACCAAATAAAGCTAATACACACTTCACACCTCTGAGCTTGCTCACCAGAACTGAACAGTAATTATCTTCACATAAGGACCCTACTATTACACAAAGCCTTGTTCATATTCATGATCTGCTGTAGCAAAGGTTTATCAAGCAACATCTAAACTTCAGAATAACAACAAACTTATATTTAAAAGTATAATACACAAATATAAATATTTTTTCCTGAAAGAGAGACCTTGTCCTTCATGGTATTTGGGAACCAAAATAAAAGTGTGTAGCTCATCACAATGTAATTCGGCTGTTGTAAAGCCTACAGAACAAAGTAAAATAATACGCTATATTGGGTCATGCCCGCTGATTCTGCTCTTTCAAAAATAAGAATGCTAATAATAAAATACCATCCTGACTCTACCTCACCTGGGACTGTTTACAGTGTTTTTGATTTCACAGTACTGTAGCTTTTCTACTGTATGATGTCAGTGTTCTCTCACTAAAAAGCAAGGATTTATTTTAAATATATTATTTCCTTCCATTAATTCAAATAATGTTATATAATTTGAATAATGCCATCATTTGCCTTACTGAAAAAATGTGAGAAAAAAGGCTTTTGTGACAGGCAGTTTTGAACTATACTTTCCCATACCATAAAAATGGTCAACTGTTGTCCGGGCCAAGCAAAACTCTGATTAGCAGAAATTAAGCATGCAAGCAGACCAATCTTCATCACACATTTATGAGGACGTCTCCAAACTAGAATATCTACACTGAAAGTGCCATATAGCATAGTGGCAAATCAAGAGAGAAATCAATTAAGGGATCACTGTGGGATGAGGACTGACAGCCACCTCCAAGAAATACGCAGTATAATGGAACTCTGAACACAAAGTTTAACATTAAAAGTGCACCTGAATATTACAAACTAACTTTACAAACCTACAATAAGGTAAAATATATATCTTTTGAAATATTCAGCAGCTTTTGTATTTTTTTTAAGTTTTTTTTTTTTTTTTTCTTGAGAGGCTCATGAATTTTAAAAGGGACCACTATCTAATTTCAACCATGCTTCACAAAAACAATAATGGCTATTTTATATTGCAGTTACCAATGTAAATGCAATTAGTGCTTTAAAACAATCTACACTCAAAGAAAACAACACAATAGTGAAAGAAAAAAAGAAAGAAAGAAAGAAAGAAAGAAAGAAAGAAAGAAAGAAAGAAAGAAAGAAAGAAAGAGAGAAACCAGCCAACCAACCAACCTTTGGAGAAAATATGCTTATTCAAAAGCTTCTTGGAAAAGAAAATTTACCTGAATATCAAGTCATGACTGATCTCAAGTGTAATGTTAAAAAGCTTTACAGACATGAACATTACAATCTTCAGGTCTCAGGACTTTAATCTGAGAAGTTTAGAGTTTGGTTTGTTTTTAAAATTCACTTTCTAACCAAAACAAACAATAGAAGTACTTGATTTTCACTATTTACAACTCTCAGCCTACAGTCTGAAATGACACAATACAAGTTCTCTTATTTAAACTGCAGCATTAAAGGGTAGGCACACCATTCTTCTGCTGCTCGATTGTCATCCACTGAAACACACATAGAGAATATTTACGTTAGTAAAATGATCACTCCCATTACACTACAATGACAAAAGTTACGTAACTCAACTCATACATCACTACGAACTAGCACAAGGATTAAACCTCTCTGAAGAGTGAAAGTATAAAAGTTCAACTTTTAGGGCCAGATTTTGAGATGGGCCTTTAATGATGTCTTTCTGAGAGGGAATAAAAGCACAAATTAATTTCTCAATGGATCTTTTTGCAGTGATTTTGGGCAACTGAATACCCCAAGCGCTGCACAAAAAGGAGCCATGCCTGAAATTAATTGTGTGCTAACAAAACTGAGAGGGAACAAAGGAGGTTTTCCTTCATAAGCTTAGCCTTTTGCTTTCAGCAAACCTCACACAACTTCCTTCAATTGCAGATGAAAATCATGTACCTCATAATGTATTTTTATTGCAACTTCCAGCTAGGCTAGGAAATATTGCAGTCACATTAATATTACCAAACTCTCTGTCTGTTGAGACTAAAAAGCCAACAAACAGGCAATCAATCACTGATTAAATTACTTTACAAAATAACCAAATCAAAATAGGAATCCACACCCAACCTATGTCAAAAATGAACAGTGCTTTAATTTTAACAGCAGCAATGGTGTGCCTAACCTTTGAACACACAGGTTGTGAGTGAAATCTTTTGCCTAATTGAATTAATGGGTTCAAAGTTTTCAGTCAGGAATTTGTGCATGGGGACTATCTGGACTTATTCCTACTACTTCTCAAGTTGTTATTATCTCCTGAAATAATCAATTTTAACCCAACGAGCGCCGAATGCTTATTTTATTTTATTCTATTCAGAAAAGCCAATGATTTTGGTGTTTGGCTAAGCATTTAGAAGGGTCTGATCAACTTTCTCAGCAGACTAGCATACAGGGTGTAAGTGGTGTGGATTTTGCTTTGTACAAAATGGTAATTTTAACCTGATTATAGTAAGAGATTAAATTCCACTGGCTTTACTTATCAGGGATTCTTTGAGTTATCTGTCCAAAACAAATCTTTCAAACTTACATTACTGCAATTTCATGTGCCCATCTCAAACAAAGCTTAAGAGGTTCTTTAAGGAGTGCTTACACAAACATGATTGGGAAGGGCCTGAAGTGTGCTAAACAACCAGAAAAGTCAAGAGGGGATATTATATAGGATGCCATAAGAATATGGGAGGGAAAAGTTCAGTTTAATAAAATTAATTAAAATCTAAAATCCAACTTCTCCTAATCTTGTAGCAGTATCTGAATTAGTTAAAAACAGAAACTCCAGTGAGCAAACTACCAACTGAACTATTAACAGAATTAACATGCAACCTAATCATATCAGGTCACCTTGGGATTGCTATTTTTTTTCTTACCTAAAACCTAGATCCTTCATCTATGTAGAAATTATCAAGGCTGAAAAATCTAAGCATCATTTTAGCTCTGTCAAATTACTAATACACACTGCTTTGTCTTTTCTGATTCCCAAGAAGCATAGCTTAGACATCTTAAAACTAATGGCTTCAACAGTACACAGTTGGTTAGTACATGACCACTTCTACAAAACCAATGAAAATAATAAAGAAACTGAAATTTGCTAAAACGAGGCATCCTCCATTGTTTATGAAATGTACCCTGACTGCTCCTGAGTAAGAAGGGAGCGCGTCCTCCATGAGATAAGGCTATAATCTCACTTGTTGGTGAGAGCAAATTCTACCCTTAGAAAATCTCAAATGAAATTATAGCAAAGGTAGTGTCCCAAGCAATGAACTGAAACATTTTGAAGGTAGTGTGTGCACATCTCCACTGCCTCCCCTCTGGGTGAGCACTAAGACATTGCTAATTTAGTCAGTAAATTTAATAATGAATATAAATGATAAAGCATAATTATAAATGACCCAAGTATTCATCGAGTAACCAGATTTCTTAAAATCAAAGGTTCATCTGGTTTGTTTTTTAGTTTAACTCTTCAATTAGTTGAATCATGTAAGAAAAATATGAACATTTTTGTAAGATGGCTTTCCAATCCGTAATGACAAAGCTCCCAGTATGACAGAGGTGATTTCTAAAAGGGGCTTTTTTTCCCTTCTTTTTTTTTTTTTTTCCTAAAGTAAAGGCAAACATAACTTAAAAAAAATAAAATAAAATAAAATAAAATAAGAAAAGCATGCATGCTCTACAGGCAAGGAGTCCGCTTCCATGTATCTGGTCTTTATGAGGTAACTCAATTCTCTGTGTAGAGAAACATGCAAAAGGCCAAACAATATTCCGAGCCATACTGCATATGGAAATTTAAAATATGCAACATTCAGAATGCACCTTTCACCTCTGTGCACAAGCCAATGCAAAACCTGCAAAGAAGCAAGTGTCACAGTCGTGAAGTCAGGCGCAGCAGTGACAGCTGGACAAGGATGCAGTAGTGCTCACCCAGTTTGTACAGTAATTGGCACTCTACAATATTCCTACTCAGTTTTTGATTCATTTGCACTTTGTGCTGCCTCTCCCTGGGGATCTAATTCAATCTTTACAGAAACATCTGGCCCCTCCGACCTCATTAATTTCATCTTTTTCTTTGGAGGGTTTTTCAAAGTGCCCAGCCTCTCCTTTACTTTGTACTCCAGTGTACTGTGGGGAATCCCATAAATACTCTGAGCTTTGGAAACACTCATTTTTCCACTCATAACCACTGAGATGGCTTCCTCCAGTATCTCACTGTTGTACTGTCTGTAACGCCCTCTTTTCTTCCGAGGCTGCTTGGAGCCAGGATCTCCTTCTTGATCCGATGTGGGATATGGCTGTCCAGAGGTAGACTGCTCAGCATCTGAGCCCCAAGAATCAGGTCCAGCATCTAACATGCTTTTTCTATTTTGTTTTGGAAGAATAGCCCTTAATTTTTTACTAAGCGCGCTCTCCGTTTGTGAACCCATTACCAAAGAGCTATAGCTGTATTGATCACCAGTGCGAGACTCCCAAGAAAGATCCATTCCTCGAACTTGTGGTATCTTTAAATCTACAGGAGATGAATGGCTCATGTCCCTTTTTCCATCTTGTTTTGTTTGATGTGCCATTTTTGGAAAGGCAGAGTTTTCTGCAAGAAAAGGAAGGTCACTGATGTTGCTGAGTGCACCATTTCCCCTGAACTTCATACGGTTGAGGTTGAATTCGTAATGAGGTTTTGCCCAAGAGGCTTCCCTGGATAATATTAAGTGTTGTCCATGATTCTGTAATCCAGACGGCCCAAGGCTGGCAGCTGTGGACAATTGGTTTCTGCTCAGTAGTTCTTCACTAATCTGCAGGGATCGAGCCAGTGGAACTTTGAGTGATGTGGAGTGTCCAAAACCTTCCCTGGTTCCATCCTGTAAGCTTCTTGGAGGTACCCCATCACCACTCCGAAGTCCATCTGGGCGGTACTGGCTGGGTCTCCCAGGTCGCCTAATTGGATGGAAGGAAACTGATGTGAGCAGGACTTGCACAGGAAGGGAGGGGCGGGTGAGGGGACCACTCCTTTATTAGAAGGCCTTGCTTGGGTAACATCACTTTGTGTTATTTATTTATTTTTCTCTAAAATTAAAAAAAACAAAAAACAAAAAAACAAAAAAAAACACATGGTCTCAGCAGTTAGTTTAAAAACTTGATCACAAAAAAGGACAAAAAAAAAAGAAAAAAGAAAAAAGAAGAAAAAGCAAAACAAAACGAAAAAACCAGGAGTTTTTTTGGGCAAAGAAAAATTAAACCTCTTTGGCAGTCTCTGGTTGGGTTCACAAATTTTCGGAGAAAAAGTTTCGCGCAACTGTTTGAAAATAGCACCTTAACCATTAATTACAAAGTATTCATTAGTGTCTCCATTATCTATACAGAATTGTTTACCAACGTGACGTTACCACTAAACAAGCACAGTAATAAAAGAGTAAGCCAGATCATTTATTTTAATGCAATGCATTCAACATTAATAACAGCTACTTAGAAGGCTGGCAGCATTCACACTGATGAAACTTACAGATAACTGCTCATTTTTCCCACAGACAAGTTAAATGTTTAGCATTAAAAATAAAAATAAAAAATCCAAATGACATTTTTTGTACTGCTTGGGAAAAACTTATACATGAAAACCAGTCCCAAGGTGGGGGAAGAAGTTTAAACAAAGAGGAATCAAGACTCCTTGCATTATAACTTACCACACTTCTTCATTAAAAACCTTATTGGTTGTAAACAGAGATACAATACCTTAATTGCTCAAAGCAACTTTTTATTTTCCCCAGAATTTTGTTGTTATACTCAGAGCCACTAAAGTATAAACAACTTGGTAGCAATCCTCTTTAAGAACAATCTTTCTCCTTAAAATATCATCTTTGTGTTGAAATAATTTATGAGTCAATTACATCTAAAGCTAATGCATAAGATTTTGCTGTTGTTTGTGGTTATTATATATATGTTAGGTGTTTTCCTTCCTTGGTCATTCTGTTTCTTTTTTTCTTCCACTGGTGTTGGGGGCAGATTTTTTTTTTTTTTTTTTTTTTTTATCACTGAACCTGGAGCTCACGAAGACAGGCAGGTTGACCAATAACCACCAGGGACCCATCCATCTCCAGCCACTCCCTCCCCTGCTATGGGGTTCAGACATGGTTGGCAACCCTGCCATCTGTGGAGGATGGGGAACCAAATTCAGGTCTTCGTGTGTGTGTGTGGCAGGCTCTTCAGCAACTGAGCCATCTCCCAGTAATTTTTGCAATAGAGACAGGTTATTGATCTTAAGACTGGCAACTGGCAAAGCATTCCCAAGAGCAACAGATTCTTTCAGTAAGGCCCAAAAGTGGAATTTTACAAAATTAAATGATAAACAAACTATATTCCCCCAGATTTCACAGAGAAAATTGCCACCATTAACAAAGTAATGCTGAATACTAACTGAAAGACGGGAAGTACTGCTGATGAATTTATCTTCCATAAAAGAAAACCAAGTAGAAAACATTTTCCATTCAGCTTAAACAACATAGACTATCAATCTGGCAGCCAAGTCTAAGTTGAGTCTTAAACACGAGATTCATTTATGTAAACTGTACTTGGGCTTCCAAGAGGCATGCTCTCACAAAGCTCAAGTGTTTTTGATATCGAAAGGGACCGAAGTGACTTGGGATCATGCTGGCTTATATCTAGTATATACACGATAAAATCCTGAGAAGAGCTTATATTAAACCATGAGAAACAGGTTAATGTTTTTAGACTGAATAAGAGTGAAAGGGAGGGAAACAATGAAATTTAGGAGAAAATAAAAAGGATTTTTTGAGAAGTCAGTAGAAGAATCCTTAAATTTGAAGGTAATTAAGAGTAGGGTGAAAAAAGTCCATTTAGTGCCTACTTATTCCTTCAGTGTCTAAAAAACTCCCCATATCAACAATCTTAAAAGGTTAAAGGCATACACTATTAACTAATTTAAGCTCATCAAAGTAAAATTTCTTATCTAGATGATGTCACAATTTTCTGATATGGTATCTAAATATTTATTGATATTTGCTTTATTGAAATGGTTACTAGATATACATTAAGAGGATTAAGTATTTCTTACACTATAAAATAAGTAGTCACAGAATTCACTGTGATCAAACTAAGTGTATAATGTTTAGCAGTATAAGATGGTTATCCATCTACTTACAACATTCTATTAAAAACAAAAAAAACCATAGAATTAATTTTCTGAACTGCCATGGAATTAAAACTGCAGTTCAAGTCAACAGCCAATAAAACAGAAAACTGAACCAAAACAAATAAAAATAAACACACATAACACACACCTCACTAGCAATACCAAATGAAACACTAGCACCCACTTTTCATTCAATAGCTTAAACACAGATAATAGTGTCTTCACTTTTATACATTGCAATTATTTAGCTCATGTTCCACACTCCAAAACACAACAAAAGGTCCAAAGGTATGTTCTTGTCATACTCATGAAATTTCACTACATGTTTAAAAACTGACAAAATTGATCTATGTTAGCCAATTTTAGACTGTACAAATACACTTCTCCTTCATTGATGACTGAGTCATTTTATAACAGGCTCACCTGTAAGACTGAGGATCTGAAGGATATGCTTATAATACTCAGGGAAACTGGCTGATCAGCCTTTGATGAATTATTTATATACAACTGTGGAAGGCTATAAATGTTTTCCCTTACCCGTTCCCTTGAGTACTGGAACAACCTGGAGAATGGCTCAGGGAAGTGCTGCTAGCACATGGACTTTTCTTAGTAGATAAATCAAGTACACCGTCTGTAGAGACACAAACAAATAGCTGAGGATATTAAGAGCTGAAACAAATATGAACTGGCTGTACTAAAAATTTGTCATACTAGGGTATTAAATTCAAAATAAAAAAAAAGTAAGAAACAAATTTAGCAAAGCATGTTGTACTGCTATATATGAAATACATGTGTATTTCTTGGGGCTAAAGATTTTGTCAACAGGGCAAAAGAAAATTAATATATTATAGAAAATGCTGAGATTGGAAATACCAGTTACACAGCATGGGTTCTGCACCAGAATAATTAGACTTCATTTCCTAAACCATTGTTCAAATGTATAGATACTTTTTAAAAACATACATAACCAAATTCTCCAAAAGCATATGAAACTTCAAGGTGGAAAATTTACAATCAGAAAATTATTTTTAAATGACCTGATTATACTTCGTGTATATACAAGATAATCTGAAGGATGAATTACTTAATAGCTTATAATTTGTGTGTATTTCAACTATTTTTTGATATAAGAAATAGGTATATTTGAATTAAATCTTTTAAGACCCTGCAAATTCAAATTTCAATTGCTAAATTTTGTTTAAGAAAACTTTTTAAAAATTAAAATATTTTAAAATGTTTAAATTTATTGTAAAAAAGAAAATGAAACATCTCAATATTGCAACAGCATGGAAATGTATCCTAAAAACGAGATGAATCGCAAATCTGAGTTATTAATACATAAAATTAACGACTTCTTTTTCCTTCATTCCACCCAGAGCCAAGAAAGCTGAGTCAAAGTTTCTTATCAGATTTTTAGCTGGTAGAGGGAAGGTTGTGGTGTCTATGCCAAAAGTAGATCCTGGACAGTACCTACTTACCCCTTGAACCTGAGGACATCACAACTCCCCATTTCAAGTCATTAGAAGTATGCACTAATCCTCTAAAATTAAAAGACCCAGCCTTATATAAAGTTTTATTTTTCGAAGTCATTAAAACCTCTATAAACCTAAGTGTTATGTTAAAGAACCAAGTACCATCCTATTAAATATCTAATACCCAACTAAAATCTAAAATGTAAATGCAGTGCTTAGAATATTTCTAACCCAAGACAGTCACTGTAACTTATAGAGGCTATACACACACCTCTACATTGCAACTCTTTTATGAATCTGAAATTTTAGATGCAATATCTAGAATCAAGAAACTTTTAGTGAAAATGCCATTTTGTAGAAAAACAGAACAGAACAAGAGTCCAAACAATCTTCAATAAAACAGAAAAATGGCAGGTGGTGGTAGTGTAAGCCTTTAATCCTAGCCTGGTCTACAGAGCGTAGTTCCAAAATAGCCCGGTCTACATAGAGAAACTGTCTTGAAAATAAACGAACAAACAAACAAAACCACAAGAAACAAAGCCTTGTAAGTACAGTAACCAAAGGTGTACTGGTCAGTGTGAACAGAGTGGGCTAGTAGGGCTCCTATATGGGTTGTTCTCCAAGAAGATATTTTGTTTACCGTTCACCAAAGAGGGAGAAAAAGAGAGCCTACTCAAATACATATTCAGTAAGTAACTAACACCAATCCACTAACAGGAACATCTTTATATATTAAAATAAGAAAAAAGGTCCTTTTAAAGAAATTAATTTTAAAAATTTTGTTCTAAAATCAAGATGTATTTCTTACCAATAAATCCATACAAAGTATACCTTTTCTGCCATTAAGTTTTGAAGACATTAACTAAAATATTTTTAGTAAAACATCAGCAATTATAATCACTTGTAGAAGTTTAAAAAGTGCCTTGGTTGGAAAATGCTGACAGCACTTTGTGAGAACACAAAGCAGCAGAGATTTAATCTATGTAAAATACACTTACTTACTTTATATTTGGTTTTTTGAGGCAGGGTTTCTCTGTGTAGCCCTGGCTGTCCTGGAACTCACTCTGTAGACCTGGCTGGCTTTGAATTTACAGAGGTCCACCTGCCTCTGCCTCCTGAGTGCTGGGATTAAAGGTGTGCGCAACCACTGCCTAGCTAAAATACACTTTAGATACATTAGAAACATCTGAACCAAATTCATAACCTCTAAGCTTTTCTAATGATTTGGATTCTCAATAATAGTTATTTTGGAAATATTTTCAAGTTATTTCCTTAATTTAGTACATGTGTATATATTGCACTTTACAATCTAAAGTATATTCAACTGTCTTTTATTTATAATACTATTTATTTTTAAATGCAAGTCTCATTATGTAGCCCTTGCTGGCCTGGTAGACAAGGCTGGCCTCAAACTCAGAGATCTGCCTGCCTGTGGCTCCCAAGTGCTAGGATTAAAGGTGTACATCACCACACCTAGTCTGATACTCTTTTGAAATCACAATACAGATTTTTACTTATCTCATTTGAAGAATGTCACTTCCATGCAAAGGATGTGTCTCAGACAGATGCTAGTAGTAGAGTACTGAGTAAATGGAGAAACTTGCCTTTTTACAGTTCTAAGAATCTGATATATTATCTTAGAAAGTGCAAACGCTGACACTGCTCTCACGTTAATCTGAACTTTGGTAGTAACTCCTTGACTTTCCTGTGTGGTGCACCCTTCATGATCTGATGGGTAAAGCTGTAACAATGCTATCTGTGCTTCTCTATCACTGGACAGTTGTAAGAATTTAAGAAAGACATTATTTTTATTTTTAAGAGACAAGGTCTCCTTATATTGGCCTTGCCCCAGGTGTTCCTCCTGCCTCAGCCCATGTAATTTAGACATACAGGAGCATATACCCATAACCAGCTAGAATCATATCATTTTCTATCCTATTCTTGTTGCTGGCACCTTACTTATAATTTTTTTCCCTCCCCAAATTAAAGTCTTCTGATTGGGTAGAAAAGACTATGACATCAAACCATACCTTGTTCGCTAGGTTCTGACTGAGACTTTCTGACAGTAAGGTCCAGAGGTGAGTCTTGGTCAGCCATGAGAAGTTTGCTGAGCACAGGGTTGTGAGTTGTTGCAGCCGTGGGAGAGGTGGTGACTGGAGATGCTTTCGGCAGGCTTTGGTTCTTTGTGCTATTGGGCTGGCTGGGGTCCTGAGTAGAGCTATTTTTTGAGGTATATTCAGCAGCAAATTGTTGGATCATTCGCTGCATGATCTCACGGGCCACTAGGGGAATATTGGGGTCGGAGACCCAGGGACTGTCTGTAAACAAAGATTTATTTACTTTTAAAGTGGGACAATAAACTAAAGAAAAAAGACAACTTTCAAGAAAACATAAAACTTCACTTCAGTTTTTCTTAAAAACCTATATCCTAATAATTGTATACCCCATTTGATTTATATTCTTAATTGGTAAGCATCTGAATCATGGATACTGAAAATAAAATTTTCTTAAGTATTTCTAAACAATTCATCCCTAGAGTTATAAAATTAAATAAAGGGCTAATAAATGTTATCTTCTGGGTAAGAATCACTTACCTGATATGGAAATATCTAAACCATTTCTTTTAGGAAACAGTTACTGTCAACATCTATAGAGAATGTCAAGTTTTCCCTTAACTATTGCCTCACATTTTGAAAGCATGGGTTACTAAATTTATAAGTGCTTAATTTACTTCTTGTTAATGTCTAAAGGAATAACAAGATACGAAAGACATTTAACTTTAGGATCCAGGACTTAATGTCAAGATCCATGTAAAGACAGGTTACTGAGTACTGTCCTCAGAGTTTCTGGTTGGGGAGTTTGAGGCAGATGGTCTCAAGAAATAGTGTTCCCAGCAAATTGCCAGCTGCTGATGGTCTATGAACCATGATTTTAGAACTCCTAGCTAGGAGTTTAAACATCACATTTCAAATGCTGAAGACCACATATTTTCCATGAGTTCTTTAAGTAACTAGCTAGGAAATAGAAAATAGCTAGCAAAGTAATGAAACACCTACACCATCAAAGTTTAGACAATGTTCATTCAAAACAAAGAACACAGGAATTCACTGACTCTTGGAACTGAAAAGGATCTCCAAGTTCAAATGGGGTTAAGATGAAAGGGAAAGGGAAAGAGTAAGCCTGTTACCCATAGTCACTAAGAGGCTGCATCTGATGATTTCTGTATCCCCAATCTGGCCTGATGTAGTGTCTGTTTAATTTATTTGAGTAATAAACACAACAATCAAATAAATTACTAACTAATACCTTTAAAACAAGAGAAATGTGACCTAAACTTGTACAGGTGGTTACCAGTAAAACTTGTTTATAACTTTTCTCCTGACCACTTTAATGTTCCACTGGTAAACTGAATTCCCTATGATGTCTCCAAGGCTTTTTCAAGATTTCTCAAAAAGCTTTAGTTTCTTATCTGTTAAGATTAGCTAGAAAAAGCAAATAAATGCTCATGATTTAGAAAAATGAGGAACTTTAGGTTAGTTTATGAAGTTAAAATCCAATTTTTTTATTACTACTAAAACATTAAAACCTCCACAATAAGAACAAACCATCAAAACCCCACAGGCTCCTAACAGATGCCAAAGAACAACACCTGATACCCCAGAAAATGTTCATGAAGTGACACTTTTTAATTCTATAGACTTGTTCTACACATTTCTATCCACCTAAGTCATAGTAAATAATCCCACATTTCCTCTATAAAAGACTGGATGTTGCAAACGGTTTGTAAAAAATAATAATATAGATTCAGTTTTATAACCAACTGCCATGTTTTAATAAAATTTGAGCCATACAGCGCCTTTAAAAACTTTAATCCACTCAATTTTCCCGTGTGTGTGTGTGTGTGTGTGTGTGTGTGTGTGTGTGTGTGTGTGTCTCCACTAGTGTCATGTTGCATATGGAGATCCTTTTATCATGGGAGTCCTGGAGATCCAACCTAGGCTGTCAGGCCTGACAGCAAAGCACCCTTGCCGACTGAACCATCTGGGCAGCTCTTCTGACATTCATTTGATGTGTATGTGTGAGTACCTACATATAAGTGCATGTATTAAGTATACCTTAATATAACTTAACACAAATAAATATAAATTACTCCCATGTCTGGTGCCTGTATAGGTCAGAGATGGTGTTAGGTCTCCTAAAACTGGAGTTATAAGTTGTTTTAGTGCCTATGTATATGCCAAGAACTGAACCCACACACTCTGCAAGAACAGCAAGTGCTCTTGACTGCTGAGCCAGCTCTCTAGCCTCTAACAATGGCAATCTTATCTATCTATCTATCTATCTATCTATCTATCTATCTATCTATCTATCTATCTAT